GAGGGAGGAGCAGCTTTCATATAGTACAACAGGAAATTTTATGAGTTTAGTAATTTTCATACCTTCCACTGCCTAAAGTCAAAGAGAAATGATGAGCAAAAGGCAGAATGTGAATGCTTTTACTCCACTCCAGGAAAATAATTGATTGATGGTGCATGAGCTGCCCTCCAGGACACACATGGAATCATTGGTGGGACAGAAAGCTATGTTGTGGACATGGAAACAACATTCATGCAATTTTAATGGATAATTCTTCATCAAGGCATTCACCTGTTTACACAGAGCATCATTAAAAACTTCTCAGAAAGTGTAATAAGGAACAGATTAAAACCAAAGCAGGTTTCCCCCCTAAGCATGTGTAGCAAACATTGCATTAGGAAATCAAGTGTATCCTTAAAAACAAGCAAAAAGCAGTGGGCTGGATCCAGAATAATGTTTCATGAATTTCTGTGTACTCTGGAGGAAGCAGGTGGGAAGCCTTCTGAGGATCCCCCAGCCCTCTGGCAAAGCATGAGAGGTGATGCAGTGATTTTCAAGACAAAGGGGCCATCTGTGCAGATCACCTTTCCTCCTCTTTCCTCCTACAAATAGCTTCTGATGCTTTCTATGGACAGAATTAGCTGTTCCATTCCTGGTTGGGTTATCAACTGACTTCTGGACTCCGAATAACCTTTTCCATTTTTGTTGGGTTAGAGCATTTTTACTTAGTACAAATAAAAAGAGTTAATATCAATGTTTTATCCATTGATATGATCCTTTCCACAGAAATGTTGGGGGCTTATCAACACAGATATATAGCCATGTTTGGGTAACTTTGTGGGTCTGAATGTTACAATGTAGGATGAAGCTCCACATTCGCAACCTGCACCATGACCCTCTTTGCCTGGCCTTTACAGGCCTAGATGTGGCCCTTTCCTCATTAATCCAAATCAACACATGTCTGCCTCAGACATTTTTCTCCACGCAGACATGAACATGGCCATCCCACACCCCAACCACCACTAAACACACACACTCATAAAGAGAAAGGAGACAAAGGAGATGAGCACAGTTAAATTAAGGTAGCATAGTCAATTTAACTGTAGTATCTTTTGATCGGCTGCCAGATTTTGCTGTGTTTATGGTTACTGATGAACAGATACTTTGGAACATTTGGCTTTCTATTTAGTGCACATAAACAGATGCAGAAAGGTGTGTTAACTAGATCTTATAAAAACTTGGAATGTGAATGTCAGAAAGATATTGGAATATGTCTGTGCATATCAAATGCACTGTATTCTCAGTAATATAGTGGGGTTAGTTTTGTGTTGTTGTTTTCAGAAGCATAGATTTCAGCAGTCAAAGGGGAAAGGCCGTTATGCACTTTTCCCCAGTGCAATACGAAATTTAGTACCTAACACATCTCAATTTTACCTTTCCATCTTGCATTATTCTTTGTCATTTGCCATTGGTTTGACTTGCCTTAGCTTAAAAGTGCATGCAAAGCTTGGGAAACTGTTATCTTGACTAGCAGAAAGGGACACAGCTAGATACAAAAAAGCATGAAATACAGTAGGTCACCCAAATTTTACAGACTTTCATTTGCTTGAATTACCTATGGAAATTAACACAAGGTGTATTTCTGTCAAGCACCTGTGACCACTTTACACACTGAAGGGGAATGGTGAGAAATGTAAATACATTTCTTTCTCTTGATAATGCTTAGGAGTCCTTTGTTTCAGCATAAATACGGTGCATATGTTGTGTGTATCTCTTTATTATTTGAACATGAATTAAGAAATAAATATGAAGGAAAAAGGAAGCATTTTTTCCTTCTTGGAGGGATCCCAAAGTGGCTTATATAATCCCTCTCCTCCTATTTTCTCATCACAAGCCCTGTGAGTTGTGTTTGGCTGGGAATCAGTAACAGGCCCACAGTCACCCAGTTAGGGAGGATCTCCCAAGTCCCAGTCTGACACTCTAATCACTATGCCACACTGGATCTCAATTATCCATTTATTAGAGTTGTACACTATTGAATTGGCAAATGCCCTTGGGGTAGCTTACAATCATGGTTCTGCTAAACCACCACCACCATTGTGGGTGGGGATACCCAGAGATGAGGCTCCCAAGATGATCTTAGCAACCAGGTAGACATATAAGGAAGATGGTAGGCCTCCAGATAGACCTGTCCTAGGCCACTTATTCCTGTCAATATCAGTACTAATTCTTTTTAAATAGGCCCCGAAAATCACTGGCCACTCATTCAGCACTGGAGCAGGATGCTCAAACTGGCCAGGCGCAATAAGCAGCCCCACTGCTCCGTTCTCCACTAATTGAAGTTCCTGGACGATCTTCAGAGATAACATGACACATAATGAACTTCAGTCATCCGAGCAGGAGGTTACCATTGCAGGGGTAACTGTAGCTCAGCCATCTCTGTCCAGAGCAGGTCACTGCTGGTCTGCTATATGAGTCAAAGCTTCATATCAGAGAGACCTAAACTCCCTTGATTTCAGTGGAGCTAAATCATGGGGAAATCTGCATGGAGGGCACTGTACTTGTTTGCTTTTGCGTGGAGGGAAAGTGTGCTGGTTCCTATGGTGTACAAGACCAGGAGCAAGTGGCAGCACCATGTCTTCTCCCTGCCTTTTTTGGTGCGGAGGCAAAAGGAACTGTCATTTTTGTAATTTTAATAAAGTATCTCCACTTTTTCCGTCCTTTGCACCTGCGCATACCTAACTAGAGGACAAGCTTGCACAAGAAAAGACTGTACAGTGGTACCTTGGCTCACAAACAAAATCCGTTCCACGACTCTGGTCATGACCTGATTTGGTCATTAGCAAAGTCAAATTTCCCCATAAGGTTCAATGTAAATAAGGTTAATCTGTTCTGTAATTTTTTTTAAATCACAGGGAAGACAGGCACGATCGCAGGTGCACAGGTGGGGAGACGGGCATGATCGCGAGCACACTCAGGGGGAGATGGATGCAATCGCAGGTGCGCTCGTGCAGGGAAGACGGGAGCGATTGTGGCCACCCCCCAAGCACAACTGTGATTGTGCTCGTCTTCCCTGCACAATCATGGCCATTCACCCCCTCCCCAAGCATGACCGAGATTGGCCCCATGCAGGGAAGACTGGCGCAATCACATCTGTTACCCAATGTGGAGTTTGCGACCTGAGGATTTTTTTAAAAAAAATTCTGTTCGCGATCCAATTTGGTCATGAACTGAGGTGTTCATGGTACCACGAGGTAGCACTTTACTTGCTTGCTTTTGGGAGGAAAGAATGAGGGTGCTGCCGGTCTCACTAGCTTTAACCTTTATAATGCCAATTATAACGAAAACAGATGGCAATGTCAGAAATAAAATTTCTAAACCAAATAATGATGTTAATGAATGAGGTATAGCACAAAAAGAAGTTGCTCTAACTCTGAAAACAAAAGAAAGCCATCCCTTGGTTTTCTTCCCAAATTATCCTGAAACTTCTGTGAAGGTGATAGCAAAGAAAAGCTTAAGTGAGCATCAACAAGTACCCCAGGAGTAAGCCTGAGCAAGAATTCTGTGAAGGAGTGTGTGCCTCTAGTTCCCACCTGAGTGACACCGAACTAGCTTTGTCTCCCAGTGGTGGCAAAGCTTCCTGTGCAAGTTGTCCCTTGCAAGCAGAAGCTTCTGTTGCAAACAAACACCAAAAACCTAGTCTGAGTTTAGACCCTGCAACTCTATACTTGAAGAAATGGGATAAAGAAAGCAAGCAAAACAGTACTGTTACTAATAGAGATATCCTTGTGTTTTCTCCCAATATACAGCCTGTTGATACAAGAAGCATTTCAGGGGTTGAAGCACCAGGTGCAATAAATGTTCCCCTGAAACCTGAATTAAGCTCAGGTTAATCTGTTAACCTGAACCTATCTATAAACATCCATCCCCTTTTACATGCTGTCAGATTACAGTCACAGAAGGGTAGACAAGATCTGGAACTGCACCCTTTCTATATGGGCCCAAATGTTGCTAACACTGCACCTTGCCAGCACCATAGTGCAAGGTATGAACCCACAGTAGACGTGTGATGTGGATATACAAACACCAATGCTTTTGCCCTCCAGCAGCGCAAGTTAAAAGGAACCCAGAGCAAGCATCCTGCAAAACAAATACTCACCCATAGAACCTGTGCTGCTTGCAGGACAGGCAGTGAGATGGCTTTCAATCAAGCATTAATAACCTTCCTTTATTTGGAGGGTATAAGAAAGGAAGACCATGAAAAGAAAAACTCAGATTCACTCAGACTAACAGCTTTCGTTTCTCTAATGCCTTACCGAAAGAAACCACCAGCTCAAATTCAGATGCATCAGAGAAAAAAGCCAAATTGCAAGCAATGATTGGCGATGACCTTTCAAACAGATTTAAGACCCAGTAATGGAAAGGTGAGATTGTAAGGCAGGCCTCTACATAGGTTACAGGCATTTGGTTGTCCTTAGCAGGGCATGAGAAAAGGCCCTTCGAAGCAGGAAGACACAGGACGTGCTTAAATCAGGCTTAGAGTATCCATGCCTTGCAGTCCAAAGAATGGAAAGTGAAGCCCCCTGTTCCTCAGGCTTTAGCCAATGCAGTTACTCAGCTACACTTCACATGCACAGCATCAGCGTCCTTTAGATTAATCCCTTTAGTTTTCTTTGTTTTTGCCTTTCAAAACAGGTCCCCTTTGTTCTGGGAAGACAACATTCAGCCACCCCTCAGAGGTCCAGGATTAAACAAGAAACATCCAGTTCTAATTGGTCCCAAGCAACCAATCCAACTGCATGTACAGACTGGGAAGTGGAATCTTTAGTCTAAATCTTTGCAAAAGAGAATATGCCTAGATTCTTGTAGTTATTGTGCCACTGTTGGCCTTTGTTCATTAGTGGGAGGAGCCCTTGACCTTTTGTTTTCCTTTTGCTATTTCTTACCATGTAGGTTTTTGACGAAATCATCCTGACCCTGCAAGATTTCAGAAAAAAATCAAAATGAAAAATGAAGCCAACATGAAGGATAGTACAGATGACCAGCATCCTGTTAATATCAGTTACATTGATCTTGCAGTAGTCAAATACTTGCAGAAGACCATTACCAAGAAGTTTCTACTCCTAGAAGCACATCAAGTTGGTAGCAGCTGCCTAAGTGGGCATGAACTGCTTGATACAAGCCTGTAAGTTTCAGATTGTTTGGTTACAGTTGAGCAGAGGGCTTCTTCTGAAGTGAGTCATATAGAAAGATCTTGTTTGTAGACAGTTTGTTTTACATATGAAAGCTTTTATGTTATTTTTGCAAGTTTTGTTGTTTACAGCAGAGGAGAGAGAAAGCAACATTATATTCCCTTTAAATATAAATTGTAATTGGATGTAAGGTCTAATTAGAAATTGTCATGATTGGCTGTGTTTCCTACTCCCAACCTATAATGCCATTAACAATAAATTAGATTTATTTTTGGGAGTGTCATAAAGTAGCTCACTTTAGTGTAAACAGAACCAACTAAAATAACCTGGTTACTAAACCTGGTATCTTCATCCTCAGGTTTGGAAAGGTGACAGGAAGACCCAGGAATAGGGTTAAGAATATTAATAGAATATTAAATATTATTTAATATTCTATTAATATACAATATTAAACACTGAACATTCTAATAGGCTTCTTAAAATGCATTCCCCTAAGGCCAAGGTGGGTTAAAATTGAACAAACATTAATGTGTTGGTTAACAAGAGTGAAATCTCTAAGGCACTTGGTCAATAACCTAAAATGTTTTCTTCTTGCTGCACTCCAGCTGTGACACTTGTCTTTAAGGTGATCATTTGTTAGCAGAGTGGAGATAACGAGGGGGACCCAGTAAGACTTTTGTTTCTTGCACATACCAGACATTATCCCTAGGCATCCTGCTAGGGATTTGCAGGATGAAAGGACAGCCTAGTCTTTATCACTTAGCAGTTTCCTGTGCTTGTGAGTACTGTCTGGTTTGCCAAAAATGTAAAGTCACAGCCATGTTCTGAACTGGATAAGAACCCTCAGGTTTGGATAGCCAGGAGACTATACCCCTGCTGTTCCCACAGGCATGGGGCCATGCTGCTGAAATTACTGAGTTTCTCCTGTAGGAAAAGCACCATACTGAACTTACTAAAGGACTACTGAAAGCACTGGGTCTCTTGCTTGATAGAGCAAGGTTTCATCATTGGATGCCTTGCCTCCCATAGTCAAGGATTCCTGCATAGTCCTGAGATCAGATGTTCCAATGGTTACTACTTCTAGGCTGCAGGAAAGGACTTCAGCCCAGAGAAAGGTTCTTATCACCAAACTGTAGCTGCTGTGGCCTCTTTCCTAAATGTATGTATATTTCAAACCTTGGGAAGGAACCTTCCCATGGTCTTGAAAACTAGGCTTTAAGCCCAGCTTTTCTAAGAATGGAGCCAATTTTCCCATTTAGGCACAACTTGGTGAAGGCTGGATGTCCACAACTGTTCTAAGTATTAACAAATCCATTTGCTCAGTTAATTTCTCCCAAAATGAACTTGTACATTTAATACTTCATAAACCTCAAGATATGTCCTATTGTGGTGCTCTTCTCTTCAGAAATGTCAAGTGTGGATTCCCTCCCCCCTGGCCAAAATATGTGGGTTGTGTTGGAACATGTGCAAGTTCGTGCATGGGTGTAACAAGAATGCATTCCACTTATCATAATAGAGATTATGTTTGCTTCAGTTTCTAGTCAAGCTTAAAGATAGCTTCTAGCTAGCAGGAGCTCAGGTGCCACATATCTTAAAACACACTTCTTGTTTTACAGAAACACCATAGTTTTCACTTCTTGTATGAAGGCACTCATTCCCAGCATTGTACTAACTCAGCTTGGTGTATCGAATTGTAATCACACTTCCCAGTTCATTGTATTAGGTTAGCACCTCCTTAGGTAGAATAAGTCTGGAGAAGAAGAAAAAAAGCAAGACTCACCTCATCAAAAGGAACATTTGGGTGACTTATTAAAAGACCCCCTGTGGTATTACAAAATGCAGGTTTGCTGTCATCTGGCTTAAAGATCCTTTCAGAAACCTGTCATTTTTATGTGCGCAAAAGCAATTTCTCTACTTAAACACTTTGATTCGAGCCTGAATGAAATCAAGTGTTTCAAAACTTTTTCTGAGGTGCCCCAAAGGCTCACTTCTGTACTGTGTGATGCAAAGGCCTATGAAGCTCGCACATGGCTCCCTTTCAGTGAGGCTCATAGAAAATGATCCTTCTTCACTCACTGCCAAGTTTTTGTGAAACTGAATAAAACCAAGGGAGAGGAAAGTCGGAGCTGAATCCTTCTTGATCACAAACAGCTAAGGTAGGAGAGGCCCCCTAGAGAAACCTGTCTCCATGATTACCTGTTCTATAATGAGGTTAATATATACTGTGGCAAGCAGGAGTGTTCCCAATTAATGAGGAAAGGAAAGGATGGAGAAGGGAAGTAGAACAGTCAAATTATTATCTATTGCCCACCAGATATTTTGTTTTGTTGATTAAAAAAAAGAAGAATACATGACTGCATGACCTTCAGTCCTGAAATGTAAAAAAAAAAAAAAAAAAATGTAGAAGCCTCTATTTGCCCATTCTATAGCTTGTCAAGCTCCTTTAATTTTTTTGTCATATTATCTCTTTCCCGCAAGAGTAATCCTTTCCTGCAAGACATCCTGCTAAGCATCTTATTTTATTCCATTTTATTTATTCCATTTTGATTCAGCCCAAATAATAAAAATTCTCTGGGCAGCTTGCAAAACTTAAAACCATAAAATGCAACAATACAATAAATCAAATATGAACATCCTGAAAAATTCTAGAATAGGATAAAAGCTAGCACCAGAATAAAAGCCAGCAGCAATGTAAAGGTGTAAACACTTAATTACACCTTATTTTAAGAAGGATTAAAAGGTGAGAGATGATTAGCCTTCACCTGGCATTAAAAAGCCCACTGTATTGGCACTAGTCGAGTTTTCTTGGGGTGCCACCATGAAAAAAACCACCTGCTTCACCTAATTTGCCAGGAGGACTGAAGGACAGGGTCTTAGTGTCATAATCTTGTATATGCTCAACTTTGCACTAAATTCTACAAGTTTCTCCTGTCTAGTCAACTATATGTTGATCCCATGTATTACTGCTTGTAATATGTGCAGACTCACCTGTGTGCACTTCTGTCTGATGACCCTGTAATTATACAGCTCTTTCCCAGAGATATGGCTCACGTACTGCATGTTAAGACCTGTACTCCAGTAAATGGGGGTCAGGGGGCAATATCTTCTTTATAGGGGGAAAACAATCTTAACTGCCGCATGGCTCTTAACAATGAGGGAGAAAAAAGAGGGAGAGAAAGGAGAAGGTGGAGAACTGGCATTTGCAAAATAAGGAATGGGAACACAGCAGGGCTGGCCCAGAGCTGCTGCCTCAGACAAGACAGTGCCCCTCTCCCACTCCATCTACAGAAGGTACCAGACTGGCCACTGAATCTGATTTCAACAACTGCAATAGCACAACTTCCTCCTCCACCCCAGAAAATGTTAGGCTGATTTAGGGAATGAAGAGCAGGTCATTCGATGAATTCTTTCTTCCAGCATCTTGTGTGCCATTGCCCAGCATCTGCTGCCCGAGGCAGGTGCTTTTCTCTGCCTAATGATCTGCCCAGTCTGGGAAGCTGTCTATGGGTTAACCTGAGTGTTGATGGAAGATGGCGAGCCACTCAAGGAAACAATGCATTGATCCAGAGAAAGATCAGGAGAAAGAAATGAAATAGATCCAAATCAGGTATGTTAATCTGGTTTCAGATGAATAGCAGACCAAAGAACTTCACATCATTTCTTTGATAGTCATTTGCTGGCTCAGGTTCCTCACTTCCTTACAGACTCCTGGTCACAAACTAAGAGTGATCATTTAGCTCACACAGAAGCTGACTGAGATGAAATACTAGCCCATGTAGCATTCCCAGAACAAAAGTCTAGACAGTGCCACATATGGCACTGTGATGCCAAGTACAAACTTCACATGTCTCTGTTTCTCTGGACACAGAGCCAGAAGGTTGCCTAGCTCTTTTTCTCTGTTTCCCATTCACTCTTTGTCTCTCTTGAATGCACATGAATGCAAGCACCTGTACACAGACAAATGAAAGAGGACTTGATTTCCAGAAATACAGTTGAAGGAGAAGAGTTGGACCTGCAGTTCCCAAAGAGGTGGAAGATGCAGAGGGATGCACAAAATGAGTCTACCAGTTCCCCATCCCTGATCTAGAATAAGGTCTCTAAAAATGCCAACACTATCCTTTAAAAAAAAAAAAAAAAACAAGAGAAGGGAACATGTGGTCCTCCAAATTTTGAAGGGTTGCAACTGCTGTAAGTCCTAGTAAGAATTGCCAATAGTTAAGAATGTTGGAAGTCACTGTCTGACAAGCATTCCCTATCTCTGGTTTAAAACCTGTAGAATGCTGTCAGAATTCCAGTGTTTTGTATGCAGGTAAATTTCCATTGTAAATGTTGCCAGTTTTTTCCCTAGTAAATCAGAAGCATTTTTCTCTAGTGAGTCCAAGTGTAGCATAGTCAACCTTGCCATTTTGAAAGCTTCTTAACTACTAACCTGCAAATGCTTGTATGGCTCTCTCTTGCCCGCTAGCTCTCGCTCTCTCTCATTTCCCAGGTGACTACTCTGGATTTCCAACCACTACTTTAATACTACCATCTTTTCTAAGCTTCATTAACATAGAATACTTGTTATTCTTTCAATAGGTGCATTTTAGGTATGAATATGTGCTCTGCCATAACTCCCTTTTATCACTTCTTACAGATTTCCCATAAGTGAATGGAAATGTATAGATGGAGCCGCTGATGTGCTTTCATGTAAGGCAGATTTTCTTTTACAGTGATACATTTCACATCCATGTTTCTTCCTTTTGCTCATCAATTACAGTTACTTGGCATCTTGAAGATGAGATGTCCTGGGCTTTTTCCAAATGACATTTCTTTGTCATTTTTGTTTCCAGGGAAAGTTCTGGCTTGATTTAAGTTGTTCATCTTGATTTGCAAAGATCTCCTCCACCAGAGGGTTTGGATGAAACCTAGTAGAATATGTCCCTGAGGCATTTACAGACTTCCTTTCATGCAGGGCCCAGTCTTAGAAGAAACACACAAGCACTCACAGAATGAAGGTTGTGCAACCTTGTGCTTTCTTCCAGAAAGCTTCTGCCAGTGGCACGGAAGATGGAAACTGCTCATGCAGCAGTCATGTTGGCCTCCATTCCTGAAGAGCTCTGCATGAACAAACTTCTTCTGGATCAGGTGCAAGCAGCAGCTGGTCAAGTGCCTTCCAACCTGGTAGTCTTAACTTCTGCCACAATCTCTTGCTTCATTTTGGATTGTTTTGTCACAGGGTTTTTAGGGTAAGGAATGCTTGATAGTGCTTTTCCTTTGTTTTCCTTTTCACAATATGAGTTCATCTGGGTTTCACTGCCATTATTATGAAAGCTCCTCCATCAAAGTTGACTTCAACACCTGCTGCTGTCCAATAGCCACCCTTTCAGAAGATTCTCTGCCACTAGAACTATTAGAGTTATCCATTATCTTCTGCTGACATTACCATTTTTCCTGACAAGTTTGGATGCATCTTAGTCTGGTGTCTCAGCTTTGACCAATTTGCTTTGGGTGATCCTGCTGAGAGACCAATCTAATGAAAGAATCTGGCCTCCTGGCTGCATTGCTATTGGCTGATGTTAAGGCATGAATAAAGGAGGAGTTGACTATGTAGTAATATAAATAAAAGTACAATTCTTCCATTTCATTTCCTCACAGAAAATAGCATATTTTAGAGAGAAACAATTACAAGTAAGCATTATATATAGCAAGATATATGCAAGTTTTCCCCAGATATTGCCTTCTCAAGTGAGGACACATGCAGAGGGTCAAATATTTTCATTAATTTATTTGTTTTCAAAATTAATAAACCCTTTCTTTATCCCCCAAAGGATTTCTGGTGTATATACAATGCCTAAAAATAGTGCAGTACAATGAGACAATTTAAGTCTCAACAAATAGAGCAGCATCATATCATGAGACTGCAATATTATGAATAAAGTAAGATCACTTGCACCATCATGGATAACTACCTTGCAGTGGTGAAAGGGCGTGCATAGCACAAAGAAGCTATGAGCTATGCCATGCAGGGGCATCTTCATTGCACACAACAATCAACATGTGTGGTGTTGTTAGCAAGACTTCTACATTCAAAGTTCTTCCAGGAGATACATGAGTTCTCACAGTGAGAAAGAAATGATCTGGCGTGGAGGCTATATTATGGGTCACAAAAAAAAGATGAGGAAAGCGAATCCAAAGACAGTATTATTTGCAATTTATATTTCTAGTTTAAGACTTTTTTTAAAAAAATGGTCCTGGTTGACACCTTAGAACTTCAGAATAGAAAGATTGACTTGTTTCATTTAACCTGCCCACTTAAACCTTTGCTAATGCAATGAAACTTTAAAAAGTCAATAAATCAATCTAAAAAATTAAGTCTGTAGACATCCAGTCTTCAGATTAATTCTGGAACAGTTTAGGTACTTCCATCAGCATACACTGGAATGTGGATTGGGTCCTCCTTAAAAACTGAGGTGGATATTCACTATTTTGAAATTAGTGAATCTTCTAACCAATTTGAATAATATTATACCATTTATTCTATTACATCCCAATTACAGATGTTATAATATAATTGCTATTAAATGGAAGCAGATGGACACTAAGTAACAGTAAGATTCAATAACATTATTAATAATTGGTCTGTTTTATCTAATGCCCTTTCAAAAGTACAAAATAACTATTTTATTTACTACTTTACCAACAATTCATAATTTGCTTTTTCCATTGCTGTAGAGCTTATATTTAAGTAAAGCTGTTCCATGGATATCAGATGCTTCTTGCAAAGCAAATGATTGTTTGATCAATCAATACGAACCCAAACTTGTTAATCAAAATATTTTCCAAGATTATCATGTGACTGAATGTGCTTCTATATGAGAGGTTGCAATCCATTCAGCTTTACCCTCACTTCCACAATTAAAATTTTTAGTTATAGCATTGACATTAACCCTTGTGGGTAAGAAAAGATTTATAATCTATCACAAAACTAACTTTGCAGTCTTAATGCAACTCAGTACAGGTGCAATTTTGATTCAAGTACAATCTAAACCCGTTCATAATATCTAGAGTTCTGTATTACAGCAAGTAACATGAAAATCTTGATAACTGAATAGAGAAAACATGAAAGTCTACATGAATAAAGCAACATTTTTTAAAAAAATGACCTTTCTGTATTTTTGGGTTGATGCACTCTGAGGAAAAAAATTAAGTAATCATTTTTTTTCCGGCATAACTATACTTCCTGTATTTTAACTTCTTATTTTCTTTTTCCAGATTATCAGCAACAAATCACTCATAAATATCTTCCTATGCCAATATTATTTTTCTTCTAAAATAAAACCAATGTGTTCAATTTTAAAATCTGTTGCATCATTTTAGACATATTTAACATAATATTTTCAGCATGTTGCCTATTTCTTTTTCCCCCAGGAACTGATCAAACTAGAAATAGAGTTTTATCATTCATTTATGAATTTGAAGTTTTAACTAAACTTCCAAGAAATAAGTCTTCAAGCACTGGAATAAAAGTTAAATGTAAAGTGGAAATTGGTTATCTTTCTCAAGATCAGAAAGTTATATTGGTAAGACAGTAAATTCAATTTGAAAGTTAACTTTCTCTATAACATTTTAAAGTTTGGTGGAAAATAAATTTACTACACATTTTGATGTCTCATGTATAATGCAGGCAACAGTCTTATTTTTTATGCATTGACCTAAATTCTTTTCACACTTTACCAATTTCTACCCACCTTAAGCCAACCTAAGGCTTGAAGGATTTGTTCTGCTTTGTGACCAAGCAAACAATAGCATATGATTTCAGATGTACAATAATTTATTGCTGAATAAATTCAATTGTTATCTAACTGTAGTGCCTAAAATTATTTAATCAAGTGAATTCTGTAGCTAGTAAACAGTTATATATTTTCCAAAAAAGCTAGATGTAACTGCACCTATGCAATAATTTGTTTAATGTAACAATTTCAAAGCTGCAGAATGCAAATTACAAATTATGTTCAACTCAGCATGTTTTAAGCTAATAGTTATATTTCAAATAATATATAAGATGCTTTCTATAAAAAAATAACTTTCCTATAAGATGATATATATTTCTAGGTATTTAAGTCTCTAGAAGTATTCAGTTGTTTCTTAAATTGTTGCCTAGCTATTTAAGTTGAAGGCAGAAAAGTAAAGAAGCATTCCATTTAGCTATGTAGCCAGAGTAGGTAACATTTTGTGGCCACATTTGACAATTTGCAAACTTGCCTGGCAGCCCCACAAAATTACTGCCAGGGGAGGCACAATTAGTCATGAAGCACATGTAACCTGCCTAAATTCTGAGCATCTGAGGCATAGGTAGAGTCTGAAACCCAACATACTAAACAATTCATTTCAACCCACACTGCTGGCCCCTACAGAAACCTATTTAAAACAAAAAAATAGGTTTTTTGGGGTCGGGGGAGGCAGTGCATTGCCCATTCCTGATCTAGAGCATAATCCCGCCTCTTCCCTTTATCTTGCCCTTGTGCCAAACATGATGCAACTGAGGTAGATGGCTCTTGGGTTATGACCTGGCGCACAAAAATAGGAAATGTGTTAAAAACTGGTATTTGTTGGACTGTATTTAGTTTGATGGATCAGAAATTATGCAGGTTTGCTTTAAGGATGAGTGCAGATGTCATGTAAAACACTCCTTCATTCCTGCTGTAGCCAGTTCATTCTTAAGAGTGTGAAAAATAACAAAGCAGCTGCAGCAAAGTGCCTGAAAAAGCAGAAAACTGCATTGTTTCCATCTCAGGAACCTGAACGTTTGTAGGACTTTTTATTAATGTTCTGCCTCAAGTAAAGGAATAGGAGAAAGCAACAAGAGTGGTGGTAGGCAATTGCTCTAGTGAGCAGACAGCAAAGGAAACAGTGCTTTGACTGTATTCATCAGCTGAATAGCAAAGTGTCCTCAAAGCAGAGTTGAAGAATAGCCGTTTTATTATGTTCGGTTTGTCTTCACTAGAGGGATTATTGAAGTTACACTGCCAGAGACTAAGTCAATGAAACTAAATGGCTTGGGTAGCTTCAGTTCAGCATCATTCCTAAAACAATTTATGATCTTCCGCCCTTAAGTAACCATTTCCTCTTACAGATCCTTTTAAATATAATAAAAGCTAAAGATTATGACCAAAAGCTATACTCAATATGCCAGTAATAGGATTTATGGTAGAGTGCAGTTTACATGACATGCCATGTTATCTGTCTGAGGGCCAACTATAGTTATACAAGAGTATATAATGGATTTCCTCAAGTATTAGTTTTTATTTGAAAGAGAATAATTGGATTTTTTAAGTGCTGCTTAGGAATAAGTACAGAACAGGTGCTTAATCTAGCTTTTGTGTCATTTGAAACATATCAGTTGCTTATTGAGATCACCTGTTTGTTTGTTTGTTTGTTTGTTTGTTTTTTCTCCTCCAGAGCTAACAAGCAGCTTCAGGGTTCATACTGGGAAAACAACTGGGGAGGAAAGATTTAAATAACCTCTCTGCTAGCAGAACAGATGCAGCACTAACTGGGGGCAGCATTGTAAGTGAGGCACTGTTGCCATTCTGGGCCCAATTTAAACTTTAAGTGAGCTATCCGTTTTACTAAAGCTGTTTAGGGAACAGAGCTTGGCACCGTGAATGGCTACCAAAAAGCTCATACTGAAACCTAGAAGGGATACACTGCCCTACTGACAATGGGACCACCAGACTTCCTTGAGCTGATCCAATCAAATGCGGAACCCCTGAGAGCTCCCTTAAAACATTAGGACTGCAAATCTCCTGTGTGATGGGTCCTTTGGGGCACAACAATTGCAGCCAGTAACCAGAGGCAGGCCCATGCATTCTTTCCCAGTTATCCCCAACTCATTTCAATGTTTCAGTCCTGGTCTTTCTAAATCAGAATTTGTGGTTACATACAAAATTGAAAATCCTGCTTTAAGGCTGGTTTACTAACCAGAGTCTGAGATTATGGTTTGAGATTAAACTAGAGTTCCCCATTTCTGATGTAGGGGAATTCTGGATTGATGTGGCAGGAATGAGAGGCCCAAGCCAATATGTGAAAGGAGTGTAACAAGAAAGTTCATTACTGTCTTACTAAAGCATACACTAGCAAGTTAATCCAAACCGGTATAATTTGATTTTTTTTCTCCTAAAGCCACCATTTCTCTAGAATCTTCTCCTCAACAGAGCAATCAAAAGCCATTTCATTCCACTTACTGATAAACTAAATAGATACATCAAACTCTAGGGATGTCAACCCGAATCCTTTCTAGGATGTCCTTTATTAATGAAGTGAAATAGTGCCCTTTTCTAAAACAATATTTATGATTCAGTGTGGCATATAAGACAATAAAGTTATTTCTTGTGCACCTTTATGGGCTTCCTCACTTTTTTCAAAAAACAAAGATACCGTTTCTGTGAGAAAGTACAAAATGTACAAAACCATCTTATATTTTCTTTTCATCTTTTCTCCCTTACTCATTTTTACATGACCATTTCTGCACAGTGAAATATAGATGCAAGAAACAAATGGCAAATAGTAAGCTAATAATCTTGTGGGGCCCAATTCAAAAAACCTAAGTGTGTGTCTGTATGTGTACTTAAAACATCCAAATTCATGTCATTTGGAGTCAGCTGGGTGGAATAACAGAAAATCTACTTGGCTTTTTTGTGTGTTTGTGACAGGCTCACTCCTTTGAAGGATTTGAATACAATGGTATAAATCCACTGGATTACTATGTTTCATCAAATGGATTGACAGATGTCTATGCAAAAGAGATTACAAGCATAGCTAAATTTCAGCAAAGGAATGGGAATATTAAAGATACCAAGTTTCCACCACATACCTCAAATTTTGCTTGTAACTTCTATCTTGAAATAATTAATGCTCTACATTATACCACTAACACTGATCAAATCACCTTCAATGTAAAAGAGGTAAATTTTTAATTTCAATTATATTTGTGATACTATTACTTTTATTTTTCCTTGATTTCATACTGTGTACTTAGGACTTTCTATTTTATTTATAAGTAGCATTGTTCACTCTCAATGTTACTTCGCCAATAGCCAAACTCCAATTGATGTTACTGTATTAGGAGTGGTTCTGTCAGGCTGAAGTGCCATACTATTTACCATGTAGTCACCATGACTTACTTCAAAAAAGTAATTCGAAAATGCACCTTCAAGGGAAGTCAGATATTTAGAGCACAGTCTAGAACACCGTATGCATATCCAAGGCTTTTTGAAATCAAAGATGCTCAACAGTGTGATCCGATGCATGTCTGCTCAAAAGCAAGTCCCCTTAAATACAGTGGTAGTTATTGCTCAGTAAATGTGCACAGGATTTCATATTTAGTACATCTAATGCTGTATTCTGGTCTTAGAAATATATACCAGGTTTTCTTCATTTATTTTTGCAAAACAAAACATGACATTCTTTTGAATAGTTGGGTGAGATTGAAACTGAAATATAGCTTTGCCTGAGGCTAAGTTCATGACTGAGATTTGAACCCAGCACATAACTTATGCTATTATTTTTATTTTAACTTGATTTCATACTGTGCACTATGTTAAGTAGACTCTTCTGTGTGACAATGGAATTTGAGCCATATAGACCATGGACGCATATATACAAAATGGAGGATACAGGGAAAAACACCCAAGCTAGAGCAGTTCAACTGAGATGAATGTTGAAATTCAAATCCTAAACAGAAGTTAATAAATAAGCTCTCATGCCAACACAAATGTCAGGGAACAAAGTATATTTGCAGTTGTGTTTGCCCATTCTGTACTGAATGAGGAAATCATGGAGAATAACAATCAAACAAAAGAAGCATGAGTTCTGATTTGTGGTGCTCCAACATAGAGGCTGGGAACCTCATCCTGGTTGTATGTGTTGGCACTTTGGTGACTTAGCAAGAATAAGGGCAAAGGTACAGTACAGTCTGAAAGATGTCTTTTTACAAGCAGTAGTGGGCAGGGAAGGTACCCTGAAAGTAAGCGATGGGGATTCTCAAATGTTAGACTGTTTTTGATCAAAACAATCAAATGACCTGATTATTGCTAATTAGTATATTATTTGATTTCTATTTGTGGGCACTTGAAATTGTATTGTGCTCGAGCTTTATAAAGGAAAAGAAGGCAAGAAGAATTAAATCACTTTTAAAGCACTTACTCTCCTACAGAATAAATATGGCTAAGTTAAAACTGTATTGGGGGATGTAAATCTTTAACAGAATGATGTCAGGACTACACTGTGCAAAACTGTAATTGGGCTCAAACTGACCCCAGGCTGTCATTAATTTTCACTTTTACATATATTTATATTAATCATGCCAACTTTGATTTGGATGTTGATATTCAAAAATGCTTGAAATTATTTTTGCTACAAGATTGAAAACAGAGCTAATTTAATTTTAAAAACAAATAATTTAAAATTATAATATTTGGTTTAGGAGAATGTTTTGGCACTAGTACCAGTGTTCTAGATTGTATTATACATTTCTTTCTATTCCTGCTATTTTTAACATCTTACTTGCATTAAGAATGCATCAGAGAATCTCATATAACATAAGTAGCCTGACCTTCCAGTTGGCTCTAGTATAGTAGCCTTCAAGGTAGGGGAATTAGAAAGCAATCCTATGACTGCTAGGCAGTATCCCAAGGGCCATAGGATGCCATGTATATATTTTTCTGAGGCTGAAGATGGAGCTCTAACACTGAAGAGGAAATTGACCACAAAGGACTGAGGCCTTCCAACAACATGGAGACCTCCATAGTGGCTTTCTCACCTGAGGTCAGATGTCCAGCCTCAGGAAGTGGGGAGAAATGGGTGAGCAGGGATATGGGAGTGGTCAAGTAGGGAGAGGCCATAGGACCAAGGGCTCCATATTTTTGAACCATATACCCACCTCTGAGACACACCTCAAAACACATCTAATAGTTTCACAGGAAAGAGTACATGGTTAAGGGCTAGGAGGCTATGCATTTCATGGGTTCCAACCTCCTATAAGGAAGTCACTATGGGGGTTTCAATGGAGGCAAGAGAGCCTTGGGATCCAATGTCGGAGCTCTGTGTCCATCCAGCACAGTTCTGGGTGGAATTTATATTCAATGACATCAGCTTTACCCACTTTATTATTACTAATTGTCAGCCTCTAATTAGATCAAGCAGGAGCAGGCATATAAAGCCTACCATAGGGTTTCCACAGGCTTTTCGTGTAGCTCCTGTTATTCACTGAGAGACAGCTTGCTTGGAGAAAGGAAGAGGGGGCATTTGGTGGCCAAATGCAGTTTATGTTGCACTGAGTTGCTTGAACAGACAGCATAGTGAAAGTGGCAAAGTGTCATTCCAATGCAAAATATCCACCACCCCACCCATTTCATTCAATATTGGGCAATTAATGAGGGTACTGATATGTCCTGGAGTGGTGCAATTAAGCTCATTAACTAATGGACATCATAAAACTTATGGACAATGCAGACTTGAAACACCTTGGGGGGAAAAACAGAATTTAAACTTAGTAGAAATTCTGATCATATACCAAGATTGCCCTTTGTATGAATACAAAATCATGTTATGATGTTAAAGATCTGAGTGAAACCTGCTAATGTAAGAAAGAAAGTTAAGATTCCTCAGTTCTTCAGCAGTGCTTAATTATTGCTCCTCTTCTGGCACATCTGCTCATCTACAATTCTAAGGCTTCTAACAGAGGAGTATGTGAGTTGCAGATTATGTGTAATGGGATTTTTAGGAGCAAAGTGTTAGGTCTGACTCTGAAATTTCTTGCTTTTGAGGTTTAATTCTGACTGATCAAATTATTTCACCACATTTTTTATTAAATTTTTCAAATTATTCTTCATTTACAATAAGTCCTAATTGGAAGTGAAAAAAGAACTTCCTACTGGGACAAGATATGACTCTACTGAAGTCTGCAGGGGTTTTTCAGTGATCTTTCAATAGAAGTCCATGTTTGAACCTTTGACAAGAAATGTATGTAAGAAAAAGAGCAAAAAGTGAAGAGGTTGATTAAAGGCACATATTAGAGCAGGATTATTTTAGGCAATTCCACAAGTGGATGAATATTCTTCATAAGAACCCATCTGTTTTATTTATTTATTTATTTTTCAGACCAGTAAGTGCAACACAACATACTTTGTGCCAAGTTTCAAGAATAATTAGATCTTCATTATCAAATCCAAGAATTTGAATGACTGTGATGAAAAGATTAGGAAAGTTGTTGGAGCTGCATATGTTACGCCATGTACAGGGTGCTCAAAGGTCAGTGTACTGTCCAGTTCAGGTATGTAAGTAGATCATTGTTGGTTGTTGTCCCATATTGCTATGTTAACATTACCATCTGCATATCAGTCCTTGTTGAATTCCAGAAGGGTGAAATTAAGGGAGAATATTATTATAAAAATTGCATTGTCCTTTTCTTGCTTTTCTAAATAAAAATTACAAGAACATACTTCTAGGAGTACTTGAAAGTACACTCAAATCATATTGAATCCTAAATAAGGCTTGCAAACCATGTGAAATTGTAGTCAGTATGGTGCAGTAGTTACACTGCTGGACGAGGCCATGAAACTTATTGGGTGACTGGGTGTGCATCTACTCTCAGCTTAAGCTACCTCAAGGGTTGTTATGAGGATAAAACAGAAAGGAAGATTATGTAAACCACTGTGGATTCCTTGCAGGAAAAGATGGAATATAAATATAATTAATAAATAAGAATGTAAATATTCAACTAAATATTCAACTATCCCTTGGACTGCAAGGAGCAAACCAGTCAGTCTGATCAATCAAGGCCAGATACTGAAGATGAAACTCAAATACTCTGGCCATCTAATGAGAAGGAAGGACTCACTGGAGAAGAGCCTAATGCTGGGAACAATAGATGGCAAAAGAAGAAGGGGACAGCAGAGGATGAGGTGGCTAGATGGAATCAGTGAAGCAGTTGGTTTGAGCTTAGCTGAATTTCAGGGGATGGTGGAGGAAGACCTGGAGGAATGTTGTCCATGGGGTCACGATGGGTCGGACGTGACTTCACAAGTAACAACAACAACAAAAGCTGAGGATTGGTGGGAGTCGTAGGATCTTTTTCCATCTCAAGGAGCATAGGATTGCAGCCTAAATGGATTCAAAATTCAAAACAGAAAAGAGAGATTAAGACTGAACAAACAATAGAACGCTCTTCTTGGACTATCCCTTTCTCCCCATAGCTCTTTTCCTTAGAAGCAAAATGTGATAGCTGTGGATGCAAAAGATCTCAGGTTAAATGCCTGGTATCCTCAGATCCAGGTAGGGCAGGAAAAGGCTGATCCCTGAAACCCTGGAGTGCTATTGGCAGTAAGCATAGGATCATAGAATAGTAGAGCTGTAAAGAGCTGAAGGGCCATTGGGTCCAACCCCCGGCTCAGTGGAGGACACCAAGTTAAACCAGCCTTCTCAGGTGGCTCTTCAGTTGCATTCTGAATGCTTCCAGTGTGGGATAGTCCACGACATTCCTGGGTAATTGGTCCCATTGAATTACTGCATGGACAATACAAATAGACCAGCTTTAATACTTGTAATGCAACACAGTATGTTTCTGCATTCTTTCCTTCTCTTGCCAAAGGATGAAAAAGCCTTTATAGAGAAAATAGGCTGGTTTGGAACCCAGAAAACAGAAAGGACTATATTCAGCATGTGCTCAGACAGCATGTGGTCTGCTGAACATAAACAGCACTAATCAGAATTACTGCATCCACTTACATTGTATGAATGAATAATACAACATATTGCATGCTGTATTACATGTTTTAATGATACGACTATTATAAAAATTACCTTCTATTGTCATTTTCTTGTTTTCAAGAGAAATACAAATTTCCAAGCCACAGCTACATTCAACTACAGAATGAAAATTTGACAAAAGAAAGAGAGAATAATGCAGCAGGTTGATATTCGGGAAAATGGGCAGCTGTTGAATGACTTAAATGGAGGAATTGCTGAAATTGATTCCAGGTAATCATACATCTGTATAACTGCTCAGGTATTACAAATGGTTTTAATTTATCACTTGATAATCTAATCAAACTTCCTGAGACTTCCTGTCAACATCTACTGTACTGTGTTTGCTAGAATTTCCTTTCATAACCCACAAATGATCCTAGAATGTCAAGGTTAGCCATAAATCTGAAGCATATGAAAAAAATAGCCAAACCTTTGCGAGCAGGTTGCCAGCTTCTGATTCATTTATTGCAAATGGATATTATGTGATGCATATCTTAAAGACATATATAATGCAGTTCATTGCAAAGACTACATACTGTTATGTTTGCAGTAAAATAATTTTAAACATGAAAACATGCTGGAAAGGAGGCCCTAAAAATAGTAGCAATAAAAATATCTCTTAGGGCCAAACTATATGCAATACTGTGTGTTCAAGCAAGGATGCTTAACCTGGCTTCCTTATTTAAAGAAGAAGCAGCTGAAGGGCCTTGATCTGCAACATGTTCAAAACAGGGCTCCTTGCCAGTTTTCTACTGAAAATCACCTCCTGCCTGGTTGCTTTTTGCCTGTTAAAGTGCTGTTGATATGAATAATATCATGTGTAATTCGGCCCTAAATGATAGTTTGGAAAACTCATCAGTCAAGAAATAACTAAAAAGTGTATGAGTAAAATGATTAGTTAAAAATACTTAAAAGATTTGTCAGACTCTGTCTAATATTGATAGTGTTTGAAGTTTCAGCAATGCATTAAAACTGAAATATGAGATTGAATAAAGGACAATAATATTTAAGTATGGATTATATATGTGCTGGTTTACCTCAAGCTTTTTCCCTTGAGGTAGGAGGAGAAATGTCCAGTAGATCCAATAGATAGTTTCATTACTATGAAATCAAAAATAGAGGTGGGGAACCTCAGGCTTAGGGGTCATATCCATTTATCATTCAAAAAGGTTGCAATGCACCTCCTGAGGATTAATAGACTGGCGATAAGAGCTTTAAGCTACATTGTATTTCTTGCTGCCGCCACTGCCACTGCCACTGCTGCTGCTGTGTGTCATTAAGTCATCAACTTATGATGACCATATGAGCTCAGTTCTTGTTAGTCCAAGGTTGTGACTTTCTATATAGAGTTAACCTGATCTAGAACCAACTTGTTTGTCTTTTTTCATTCCAGGGTACTTTCAAAACTCTCCTCCAGCACCATGTTTTGAAAATTTTCTTCTTGTCATCTTTTTTCCCTGTCCAGCTTTCACAGCCGTACTTAGTGATCCTGGCCTTGGTCTAAAATGAAAAACCCTGGTACTCAACAATCTTTTCTAGTTCCTTCATTGCTGCCCTTCCCAGTTTCACTCTTCTTCAAATTTCTTGGCCCTAGTCTTCATTTTATTGATGACTGAGTCAAAGTATGCAAATCCTTTCACAATTTCAATTTCTTCATCATTAACAGTAAAGTTCTAACATTTTTATGAAGTCATGTTTTTTGTTTTCTTAATATTCAAATGCAGTCCTGCTTTTGCTTGCTGTTCTTCCACTTTCATCCAGAGTCATTTCAACTCATTGCTGCTTTCTGCTAGTAAGATGATATCATATGCATATCTCAAATTCTGTCAATTTTCCTTATGATGGTTCAACTTACAGATTGAACATATAGAGACATAAAATGCATACTTCACTGACACTTTAGCCCATGGGAAGCCATTTGTTTCTCCATATTCTGTCCTAACTGTAGCTTCTTGTTCATGGTATATGTTACTCATCAGGACAATCAAGTGCTGAGGCACACCTATGTCATTCAGGACAATCCATAGCTTCTCATGATCCACACAAAGGCTTTACTGTAGTCTATAAAGCATAGACTGATTTTCTCATGAAAATCTTTGATGTGCTCCAACATATATTTGTGATATATTCTCTAGTGCCTCTTCCTTTTCAGAATCCAGGTTGAACATCAGGCATTTCTCACTCTAGATCAGGGGTCTCAAACTCAACTTACCTGGGGGCCGCTGGAAGTAGAGTCTGGGTGAGGCTGGGCCGCATCGAGTATTCCACCACCGCGGTGGTGGTGGACCGCTCATCCCGCAGCCGGCCCTGGAGCCACCGGCGCTTTGAAGGCCGCAGGGCCCCTCCCCGTGCCCTGCCCATCCCGGAAATTGGCCCACGGGCCACAAGTTTGAGACCCCTGCTCTAGATAGAGTTATATTCTTGTTGCAACACCTTGAGCATCACTTTGCTTACATGGGAAATTAGTTTAATGATCCTATGGTTGCTGCATTCTTTTGCATTTCCTTTTTGGGAAGTAATGTATATTGAATGTGTCCAGTATGTGGGCCATGTTTTGTTTTTCTTATTTGTCAGCATATTCTTGCTAGAATTTCTGAAGTAAAATACTTTGTGTTTGTCTGGCTGAAGATATCTCATTCTATTCCACTTTGGTTCACTCTTAAATACTCACAAGTGCAACTACTTTGAAGTTTAATCATTCCATTTCTTGCTTTACTGTTTCCAGACTGCCTTGATTCATACATCTTACACACTGTGTTCCTCTAGTATGTGTTATGGAACATCAGAATTTCCTTTCACCTCTATGCATGTCAGCCACTAGACATACTTTCAGCTTTTATCGAGTTGTTTCATCAGTGAAAGCATGTTTCTCATTTGCTCTTCTCCAGTACCTCGTTGAGTGCCTTCCAACATGGGATTCTCCTCTTCTGGTGCTATCTCTTCTTTCATTTTGGACTGTTTAGTCATAGGGTTTTCAAGGTACGAATACTCAGAAGTGGTTTACCATTGCCTTCTTCTGCACAGTACTAACCAGAGTTAGCTTGAGCATTATGGTTGTCTGTACAACATCCCCTGCTAGCATTACCTTCAGCTACAGCTGTTGCCCAGTGCCTGCCCTTCAGAATTTCTCTACCACCCTTATAGATATCTGTTCTCTTCTGCTGCCGTGACCTGAAGAGGATGGATGCATCTCCAGTTTTATCATTCTGCCTTGGGTGAGCCTGCCTAGTTAGACAGTCTGGCCTCCTGGCAGGATTACTCTCAGCTTCTGTGACATTCTCAGAGCCCTTCACCATGTCAAGGTGTGCCCCTAAGAAGGGACATAGCACTTTTTATACATGTGTTTGAGTGGATGACTGTGCGCATGTGTGTATGCCCTGCTTCTTTGCCTTTGGCCTCATCTACCATTGTTGAGTGGCATCTGAGAGCTTTTTCAGAATTGAATTCTGCCGTCAGGCTGCAAGAGGACTTTGGCCAGCTCCTGCTCTAAATTTCACGGGGTCTTTCTTCTCTAGGCAGAGAATGAAATTGATTGGTACCCACAACAACTTGCCACAAGTGCCTGCTGACTTGGAAGCAAATGGGCCACCTTTCTACATTTTTGGAAGTGAATTTCCTTCCCTTCCTATCCCGTTATTAAAGTTGAAGAACACCTCAAAGAAGGAGGTAAGGTTGCAAATCCAAATGGAATTTTGGTAGCATATTCATTGCTCAATGTCTTAAAATAATTATTATTATTCAACAGATTGATGATATATTGCAGTACTTGGCAGTGCATTCATAGGGGAATCCTGCCAATGACAACAACAACATAAAATTCCTGCAGCTTGTCACCTTTTGCGCATATCAAATGAAACAAATATTTTTGACTCATTACATAAACAGCACGCTGATGGCCCAAAAAAGAGGTAAGAGTGAACAGGAAGTAGTTTCATATTTGCAAAGCATAACTAAATCATATCTAAATTAAAGTGATTAGTGCTTGAATTCGACTGCTGTGCTTTTCCTGCAGATGCCTCATATTTCATTCAATTCCATTTGTTGGTAATGCCAATGCACTTAAATTCCTAAGGTATAAGACCGACCAAGGAGAATCAGCAGCACTGAGGCAGCAGAGATTCTGCTTTTGTTCCTTCATTTGTGCATTGCTTCTGAAGATGTCTTACAAGAAGCAATGGGAAGTGCATCACAGATTGAAATACTTTGTTTACTCTTAATAGTGTGCCTTTGTGGTACAATTCTGCACATGCCCACTCAGAAGACTCACTGAGTGCAATGTAACTTGTTCCCAAGTAGGTATGTATAGGACTACAGCATAAATTAAATTGCTTTTGCTTTCTCATTTGCAAACCTTGAGTGGAATAACTGAGTAAAACATCAAAATTCAACAGCATATACAATCAGCATTTTGAGATTATCTGTCAAATATGCATTTTTTTCTAACACTTCCAGCCCTCATCTTGTTCTTCTTCCAATTATATGGATCTTAGCTGCCTTACCAGCTTAACCTTGGGTCCAGTGGTGCTGTTGTTGAATGTCTTGTCAAACAACAAAATCACCTTCAGTCATGATTTTATGGTGGAGGAGAGGTGTGTATTACTGGGATCTGGGTGGGATAAGCTCTTCCTAACTGAGCCATCTAGATGCTCAGTGCAGGACAACACTGGCTGGAATGTCAGGGTTTGGGTTGCTGTGCTCTTTAGCAATTCCATCTCCCCCTTTAGGGTTCCTGCCCATTTAAGTGCCAATCTTGTTTCATTACATTGATTTGCTTCATTTACAAAAAATGGCAGCTTACAATCATAGATCATAAAATAAAGTATAATTAAAGAAGTAATGAAACAAATACATTAAAAATAACAATAGCAAAATTAAAAGCAAAACATTATTTCAATCTTCTGTTGAGTACCCAGGACAGATTAAGAATTCTTCTGATGTACCGCACACCTGCTGCTCTTCACCTTCTCCACCTGAGCTGAAGGAGGTGGTGATTCATTTATTTATGTAATGCAGCTGAGCACATTTTAAAACTTGAATAAGCAAGATGAACATACCATATTCAGTGTTTTGTAATCTTCATTGACTACTAGTCCAGTTTTCAAAATGTTAATACTAACTTTTAAAGACCTAGATGGCTTGGAGCTAGGTTACCTGAAGGGTTATCTCCTTCTGGGTAAACCTACCTAGACCCTAACATAGCCTCCAGAGGCCCTTCTCTGGATGACCCTGCCAAATTACTTGATCTGAGTGTGGCTTGTAAGGACTTTTCCTCACTTTACTTCATTTGGCAGGGGCATCCATGCAGCACCTGGTTCTGCTGGGAGCTCCTCTGAGATGCTTGTCTGCTGCCTACATTTGTGGTATTTGCACTTGTTATTTCCTCAAGTATTTCAGTTTTTTTAGTTCCTATTGTTTTAACTCTATTGTATTTTTAATTCTTTGTATTGCTGCTGCTTTTTTATTTCATACTGGAACTTTAATTCTTAACATTTTTAACTACATTTTATTGGCATGTGATTCATAGATTTATTTGACGCGAACTGCCCAAATAGTGGTAAAATAGATGAATATCTAAATTAGCTGAAAGTCCAGGTGTATAATATGGGGAAAAATACTGACCTGGGTAATAGCCTGCTATAGGAAATGCTGAGACAATATGTTGAAAGAGTTACTGGGTGCACTGGAAAAACTAAGAGCTGCTTTACAGATTCCAAGCAGTGTAATTATTATGTCTTGAGCAATTTTCTCTGCTTGTGGCAGCAAAGCTAATCACACTTCCAAAGCAGTGAGCACCACTAAACTTTCTGGGACCTACTTCTGGGTAGGTGTGTCTAGGAACAGGACTGCTAATCCCGGATGGCTGTTAATCCATTTGTAGCTGATTTTACTGATGCATATATTAAATGTGTGCAAAACACACACACACACACACACACACACACACACACACACACACACATATATATATAACCCAGAGTATGGTCTGAAGACACATAAGACATCCACCATGTTAAAGCTGAGCAGGTCTGGTGCTGGCCTGAGCTTGGTTTGGGGAACACCAGGGAATTACATGGAGCCACTTCAAGTTCCACTATGGCAGAAAGGTGGGTTATACAGATAAGAAAAACGAAAGATTATAGATCTGTTTATTTCCCTCTTTAATGATTAATTATGGCAGCGACCAACTGTTCTCTCCCCAGATCATTGTGACAGGGGTTCTCAAAGGCCCAGCAAGTCTGTATCGCTCAAGTATTGCCTTGGCCTATGGAACATTGCTGCACAGATATTATGTTGACTCAGGAATAAGCCCTGAAAAAATATAAAGGTGTAACAACAAGTTTTATTACATTTCTTAACCTAATAAATACAAAAACAAATAGCTTCCTCATCTTCTATTTATGAACCTTCAAATGAAAAGTTGTGTTTTGAGTACAGTGTTCAGTTTTTTTGCAACTTATTTGAACAAATTCCAAACTTCAATTTGAGAATAAATCAGTAACATGAGATGAAAAACAATTCTAATTAATTCCATAGCATGCTTTTCTGAGAGGTTCTCAAGATATTTACATATTATGGGCTTTCCAGTGGGTGTACATAGCACTCATGTACATTGCATCATGCTATCACTAGGAATCTTTAGCCCAATGCCAATAGCCTTAGATAGCACGATGGCATTTCCTAGAAAATTTGTCCTGCCACTTAGTGCACATGCTGCTACATTATGCTATGCTCAAAGTTACAGCACAACATAATTTACATTAGTGCTAGAGTCCAGTTGAATTCTGCTACCTGTGGGTTTATATAACCAACTAGCAGTATTATTTATAATTAGGGATATAGTATCTAGCTAGACAAATGCATGCCAGTCCAGCCTGTATGGACAGGAAGGAGAAACTCATCTGGAACATATGTGCATGCCTAGGATGCTGGTCATGCCAGAAATCCCTATATCCACCTCTGAACCCAGAGAAGTAGCCGTGTTGATTATTGTTGCGTATAGATTCTCTATGTATGAGGCTAGAGAATAAAATGCCTTGTGGTGCACTCATGTTTCTGGATGATGACTACAGACTGTTCATAACACTATCACCATAAGTTAACCCAATAACTTTTTGAATAGCCTCTGACTGGCTATTTGGAAAGTAAAGCAGTTCAAGAATCTCATGCAGAAGATCTTATCGTGCTTCCAAAGTCCTATGGAAATGTGGGAGTGTCAGTTGTCCTGAAACGCACCATGAAGTTCATTCCAACATCAGCTTCTTCTGCTGATTCAAGAATAGGCCATAATGCCATCTTAGCACTAAGAAATCTGGGCAAGAGATATCATCTGCAAGTAGAAAGAAGTGTATGGGGGTTTGTTGAGTTAATCGCATTAGAATCACTATGTAGCTATCAGTCATTTTTATATTGCATTTTTCTTTTCCAAATAGCAGTTGTAGTAGGACAGAATAGCTTTAACTTTTTCTGAAAGTGTCCAGAAAAAAGTCACAATATGCTCATGCATCCGCTCTTTCACTGCCAGTATGACAGTCTATTTAGGCATGCAATTAGATATAAAATCAGAACTCATATGTCTTATCACAAGGAATCAGTATGATGTATTGTTTTGCACATTTACAAAAAACTGGATGTCTAAATAACTTCAAAATCCTGTCTCAGGATACCTTATTAGCAGCAGTTCAAAACTGCCTCTCTTCTGTAACAGCAGAAACACAGAGGTCACATTCACACTTGATGCTCAACCATCCAGCAGTTTCCATGCAGTGTGCTTTCTTACCTGGGTGAGCCTGTTAGAAAATAGCATGTTTTCCACACATGTGTGATCCACTGCCTTCCCTTCCACTATCCCTTCCCTTCCACAGGTATCCCATCAGCCTCTGCAGTTGAAATTCTGTGCCAGGATGCACTGCTTCTGCCTACATTGCCTGCTTCTTCCTCATTTGCCCCCACACTCCCCTGGGAGTGTCCTCAGCCAGCTGCTCTTTGTCGTGCCGTGCCTTGTCTTGTCTCTTCAGCCAAAGCAACTGCATACTCACTAAAGTAGTACTTTTGCCTCTGCTGTCCTGTCATGCTTCATGCCAACCTAAAAGCATACCAGCTACTCACCCACACTCCTACCTGTTCCCTTCCCCTCCCTTGCTGCAGATCTTCCACGGCAAGACATGTCTATGCTGCCATGGGCTGTCTCCCACCTTCAGTCGTGCACATGCAGGACATCAGTCCGGACAGCCTGTGCCCTCGCTGCCCCCAACCACACCACAGCTGCAGCCAGAATCATCCAGTGCCCTCACCTCTGCCCTCAGAAAAAGCTGCTCCCACCTCCCATCTCCAGGCTCCCTTTTACATGGAGGCAGCTCTGGCTGGCACCGCCTCCTTTGTGCCTGGCTGCTCTGTGAGCGGCCTCATCTGGTGCTGCCCCTCGCCCCTCTCCATAGCCAGGCCTCCCAGAGGAATCACCCTTGTGTTGCAAAGTGTTCTGTTTCTGCAGCATCACAGGGACTTGGTTGCAAGAAAGGCTGGCTGTGCCAGAGAAAAAACTGTGCCTTGTGTTAATAAAAGCTAGCACTCTTGTCTGACAGTGCATGGGCTCTGCTGCTGTACAGCTGTACGCATATACTCACCCTGACAGCTGCATAGACATATGCCTGCATATGTGCTAGGCAATCTGAGAGCTGCTTCTGGGGCTGAAGGGTGTGGGGGAGAAAGGACTTGTGCCATGGCCCTATCCACCAACCCTACATCTCTCTGTAGGGTAGGCAGAACGACCTGACTGGCACTCTAGCATGAATACTGCTAGGAATTAGGCTGGCATCCATGATGGGATGGAAGCTACGAACTACCACTGGAACTTCCATAAATAGTTATCCCGGAGTGGGGAAGTACTGAGGGCTTGTCAACAGTCCTGGGGAATGCAAGGGACAAGGTTGGAGTAGAGAAGAGGGTGGGAGCCAGAGTGGAGCTCATGGGCTTTGGTGTGTGATCACTCTTTTGATGCAGCCCGTGTGCACCCTTATGTAGGTGCAACTTTTCAGAGGAGAGGAGATGCTTCTGCTGGGAAAGCAATGACAGAGCTACTCAAGAATTAAAAATCTCCATGTTTCCAGTAAGCTTTCCAACAGCTGTTGTGGTTTTTTAACAGTTCTTCCTTATATAATATGGCAAAATGCTGCAATGTGTATTTTTATCCTTTTTATTTATCTATTTATTTATACACATATTTATAGGCTGCCTATAACTTCTGAGGCTTTCCTAGATGGCTTACAATGGGAACTTAGGTTAAATGCTTCTAGTCGAAGAAAATTTATCAGAATTTCTGCTGCTTCCACAATAAAACTATGTTTGGAAGCCAAATTCATGTATGTAATGGTAGCAAGAAAGAAACAAATAAACAAAACACCTATTTTTTATCTATTTTTTGCAGGTACAAGTTGCTATTCTTTCAATAATCATGGATCACAAAACTGATGTTGTAAATCAACTGCTTTCTTACTTGATTATGTTTGAAACCAAACCCTCCCTTCCTTGTTGATTATCTTGGTTACTGCTACTTTAAATGAAACCAGCATGCAGGTGGAAAATTTCGTCTACACTCACCTGTCTGCATTGGCCAGATGCACAGATCCTGATTTCCAAGTGATGTACAGTTAATAAGAACTTTAATTTCATTTGAAAGGAGGAGCATACAACAAACTGAAATCACTAATTTGAGTGTAGTTTGATTTTATCTTCAGGGCTATTGCCAGCAGAATTTCTCTCAGAATACTAAAAACAAAGATGCAACAGCCAGCTGGTAAACGATTTAGCTGAGTATTCTTCTATGGATTATTCAAAGGTAAGACACATTTGTTCAATTATCATATATTACTTCTAGCACACAGCAGTAGCTTAACAAGTAAGGGGGGAGCCAATATTTTAATATTAATTGCTGTTTGCTTCAAAATCAAGAAAGGCATGTATCTTTATCTTTTGTTAACCTGGCATCATGGCATCCTCCTTATTTAACTTCTTCTCTAGTGATCCCTACCTGAGAATCAGCTGTGACAATTTGCTAGAACTGAATCTGTCTCTAACCTAAGCTATATCTAGGCCAAAATGTATATAAGCAATACATAATAATCCAACTTCACCAACAGATTTTGTAACTTAATATAAAGAAGTGATTTTAACATCCTTAACAAGTAAAAATGCAAGTTGCTTCATAGTTGCTAAATCAAGAGAGTTGCTGAATGACTAATTCTTTTCTGTTATTTAGATAAAATTCTGAATTTTATGCTGCAATCCCATACACGTTTTCCAAAGAATAAGTATTATTGAATTCAGTAGGATTTACTTTAAGACAGAGTGCACTAGACATACATAGCAGTGTACTCTTAAAACTGAGAAAGAAAATATGCAGACCTCTACCAAAAATGTACACTTTTTAGGCAACTAAACAACTATATAGCTGTAATATAGTTTTATATAGGTTTTGTTATAGGTTTTTCTATCCTCATATCTATAGTGTAATACCGATGATATGTTCAAAGCACTTTATAAACATTTCTCTATTTACCAAAGGAAATGCATGCATATAGCACTATAAACCAACTATGGGTTAGAAAAGGGGAGGTTGGAAGCAAGCCAAATAAGAAAGCTGGTGTATTCCAGGCAAAATTCCAAATATTTTCATAAAAGAAACCCTAATGGTAAATGGCCATGAAAACAGTAGAAATGTGCTTTGTATCTGTTGAATTCTCTCTCTCTCCTCCCCTCTCTCTCAATATTAACCTCAGTTTCTCTCTCTCTCTCTCTCTCTCTCTCTCTCTCTCTCTCTCTCTCTCTCTCTCTCTCTCTCTCACACACACACACACACACACACACACACACACACACACACACACTCTTACTCGGGGGGGGGAGAGAGAGAGAGAGAGAGAGAGCAGTAATGGGCATATCTTTTAATTTTACTTTCTCTTGCATTTACATATTTATCAAAATATATCTTTAGTTCTATCCATTGCAGATAAAAAGAAATGTACTGATCTGGATAAATGTCTATTTTAAAAAATAGAGCAAAATAAAGTGTTTAGCCATTTATGCAAACCAAACTCAGGATCCTGTAAAATTCTGCAAATAGGGTGAGCAACTCCACCATAAATGTCTCACCTGAAAGCCCCCTAATGCAAACAGGGTTGCAGTCAGTATTAGTTTGACGACAGTCCCAATCCTAGTCTGCTCTAGGAGAATCATTAGATACAGCCTTATGACAAGCTGAGCACTGCCAAATATGGCAGATGCATGCCTAATAAGATTTAATCTGTATCATTTCACCCTTGTAAACATTTATTTGAAAACTTGCTGGCACTGGGCAGTTAGTACCCATTTGATTTGGCATTACAACAGTTATATTCATCGTGTTAGATTGTTAGATGGTTTTGGAATTATTTGGCACACCAATGTATATCTTCACTTTGCCTTGAATAGCACATTATTTTGTTTCTCTAAAACTGTTAGGAAAGGTAATAATCTCTTCCAGTTCCTTATTCCTTCTGTTATAAGAAATGAATTTCTGCTTTTATTTCTGTTATTTATAGTGGTGATGATCATTATCATGAAGATCATAATGATAAATACCATTTCTTACGTGCAACTAGGTAAGAAATTCATTTTGTTGCCATTCTATAGCAATGCAGCAAATGTGCACCTCCTGGGTCAATAAGCAAGGCACGCTTACAAGTCTGGCATGTTGGGAGGAAAATTGTGCACAAAAATGTGCACACTAGAGCTCATTGCACATATAATGTGTACATTGGAAAAATATGAATGAATCACATTATTTCAGAGCAAAAGCACCTGCTAAATGTGTATACTTGAAAAATGAGCACATTTATATCCCACATTTATATCATAAGGAAGCTTGCATAGCTCCATTTTATCCTCACTACAGGAACTCTGTGGGGTGGTTTAGGCTGAGAGTGAGTGATTGGCCCAAAGTCACCCAGCAAGATTCATGGCTGAGGGGAGACTCGAACCCAGACCACTCAGGGTCCCAGTCCAGCACTCTAACCAGCACTCCATACACTGGAACAAATCTATTTGAAATAAATATTCAGAAAGAGATATAAGAATTTCCATGTAGACTTTTAAAAAGCCCTCAAACATATGCAGCTTAGAATAAGCTTAAACCTGAAATTCAAGAATTTCAGTGCTACTGAAGTTAATAGATCTGTCCATCCCTAGTTTTCACTAAATGTAAATACATCAGAATTATTATATAATCATTAGACAATAAATAAATGAGTGAACATATATAGGAAGGTGCTGTGTATTGGGCCATCTAATGCAGGGTTGTGTAAACAGTGTCATTTAGTAATTTGGGATTCTGAATCGGTTGTTTTGTGGCTTTTCCTCCTTAGAATGCATTTCATTTACTTCAGCATAAGATAATCCATACCTATTTCACTTGGAGGCATTCCTGCCCATTGAGCAGAATGGGGCCATGGATCTTTGCCTAAAGTAAAGGCCTAAAATTCAGTCTGCAGCAGCTCTGCAAAGTCTCATGCCTATATTATTCCCTGCCTTGTTACAGAGGAACCTTTTCAATTAAAGTGGTCAAAGCATCTATGCCCTTCTGAGCTTTGCTTCTTTCCCAGGAACTGCAGATATGAATATTCTAATACATCACAATTGCAAATCTAGCAAGAGTCCCAAGCCCAACTCCATCAAGTCACAGTAGTTTCTTCTTGCTATCCAGTAGGATTTATATATGGTATTTCTGGATTTGTATAATTTTATTGTATTGAACAATCCAGCAATTGAATAAATTAGTATTTGGAACACCTGTTCAGCTCCTTGGGTATTCTTTTATGCATCTTTATCGAATCTCTTCTGGCTGGTGCAGCAGTGAAGACTGTCCTGCTACATAAAGATGGGAGCCTGTTTCCAATATTCACAATGGCTAAAGCCAAGGCAAATATTTTCAGCAACATCTTTTATCCTCTGGAGGGCATTATTACTAATTACCTTGTTTCATCACTGCTCATTTATAATCTCTTCATATTATATCAGATTGACATCAACCCTATCTCTGTCACCTAACTACAGGACTATTCCATTAATAGGTGGCTCTAGCAACAAACATTGGGTACATTGGCCAGATCTATCAGGCTGCAATACTGTACATACATGTCATTCCTTCCTCTTCCTTGTTCCTAGAAGAAATATGATGAGCATCATATTTGATCTACATTCACAGTTAGCAAATGCTAACTTACTAATTGTAAGTTCATTCAACTGATTTTGGTGATGGTATTCAGTTGATCTTCAATATCAGATTGATCTTCCCCAATATTTATGGGCCTTGAATTTATTTCTGGAATGTATGTGTTTATTTTAAAATCCATTTGATTTACACTTATTTGTATAATATAAATATTCTATTATTCATAATCTGACAAATGCCATGCATAGCTTTTCACTTTTTCAATAGGTAACCACTTTTGTTTATTGCTTTCTAAGTTAATTCTTAGTTATGTAGAATTGACTCTTTCAGTAGACTTTTCAAAAATCCTTGGAAAAGGTTTAAATGTGTTGAGGCTGTTAGCTTCTATATACTTACCAAGAGTAAAATCCATTGAAAAGTGTAGAACTTCATTTTGAATAGACATATGTTGGCTCACTCCAAAAGTGCAACTGTTTAATTTGTAAAACACATGCAGAGAGAGTTTGAGAGAAAGAGAGAGAGACCCAAGAAGGAACACATCTCTTAACTGATTGAAGTGTTTTAACATAATATAGTGATCTAGTTTATATATAATATTTCAAACTCTTTTTTGCAGTTGTATTTTTTCTTCCAACACAGATGGGCATGGAATCTCGAGGAATGTTAGAAAAGGCATATGCAGCACACAAACAAGTCAAGACATCTCCTGTTTCACCAGAACTTCAAGAAAGGGTAAATGACAATCAAAAATATACAGCATTTATAGCTTTAAGGGAATATTTAAAGCAGCAAATGGCTTGGGCCCAGAATACCTTCCATACGAGCCTGCCTAATATGTAAAATTTTCTGTAAATGCTCTTATTTGTGTTCCAATAGAAGCTGAGTAGAACATTGGAGAAAGCATTCTCTATGGCAGGGGTATCCAACCCATGACCCTCAGGCCACATGCAGCCCAGGATGGCTATGTATACAGCCCGACACTAAATCATAAACTTACTTAAAATATTGAGATTTTTTTGTGATTATTTTGTAACTTGATTGAGCAGTTCTCAAGTGTGAACTTTGTAGATGGCAATGCTGAGTCACAATTTTGTGTAAAATAAATGTACATATGCTATTTGTACGCATGTGTGGATTCAGTTTTATGGCGGTTTGCAGTCTCCAGTGTGTTATGTTCCAAGCACAGACAGTTGAATTGACACCATCAGAATTATATGTGCTCATGGTGACTTGGCAAGTGAAATACAGCTATTATCAATAGTATTCTATACATTTTGACACTTTGTCTAAACACAGTCCTGTGAACAGCAAAAAAATATATAGCCTGGCTTTTTGATTTGATAAAGAATTTGAAAGCAAATTTCAAGATTTTCTGGAATATCTGCGACTATTTTGGAATATCTGCGACTCCATTTTCAGTCAACGTAAATATGTTACCTGTCAATTTTCAAATTGAATGCATGGAGCTGCAATCTGACATTCAACTTAAAAATTTGGTCAGGGACTTTTATAGGTCCTATCTTCTCAGAAACAAATATCCCTTGTTTCATAATAACACCTTATTCATGTTTTCAATTTTTGGCAGCACCTACATTTGTCAGCAATTCTCAAGAATAAAACACACTAAGAGTAAAATTAGAACCAAAATATCTGATGAGCACCTTGAGAACTGACTGAAAATTGCAGGTACTTCCATCAAATCAGATATTGTACATTCATTGTTGTTGTTTTTCAAATACAATGCCAAATATCCCACTAGTTTTATGTTGCTCTCTATTTCTTTTATATTAAAAATATCAAAAAAAAAAAACAAGTTTTATTTCTTAGAAAAAGTTGGGACCAAATGAGGTGCTGCATAATTAGGATTAGAAACAGAGAAACAGAGTGAGTCAGAAGGGGTCTCCCAGGCCATCTACTCTGACCCCCAGCTCCAGCCAGCTCCACTCACAACATGCCCTCCATGTGCATGTCTAGCCTTTCCTTGAAAACCCTCACCGACAGGGCCTCAACCACCTCCCAGGGAAGCCCGTTCCATACCCTCGGGGTCCTAACTGTCAGGAAGTGCTTCCTGGCATCCAAATGGAACCTTGGTTCCCTGAACTTTGCTCTGTTGGAGCACGTCCTGCCTTCCTCTGCAGGGGAGAAGAGGTCTCTACCCACCTCTGTGTGACATCCCCTCACATACCTGTATGTTGCCAACAGATTCCCTCTGAGTCTCCTCTTCTCCAGGCTGAAGAGACTCAGTTCCCTCAGTCTTGTCTCATATGACATCCCCTGCAAACTGGCCACCAGCCTTGTGGCCCTACGCTGCACTGACTCCAACCTGGCTATATCCTTTCTGTAATGAGGGGCCCAAAACTGAGCACAATACCCCAGTTGTGGGAGCACCAGAGTCATGTAGAGTGGCAGTAATACCTCTCCCGATCTTGAAGCCACACTTCTAGCTATGCAACCAAGGGTGGCGTTCGCCCTCTTGACCACCGCATCACACTGCTGACTCATGTTTAGCCTGCAGTCAACCAGCACCCTGAGGTCCCTTTCACAAGTGCTGCTCTCCAGTCACTTGTCACCTAACCTGTACTTATGACAGCTAGTCCTATGCCCCAAGTGCAAGACCTTGCACTTATCCACATTGAACGCCATCCTGTTGTCTCCTGCCCACTTCCATAGTCTGTCCAGATCCTTTTGCATCTGGAGTACCTGCTCCTCAGTTGTGGCCACTGCTCCAGTTTTAGTGTCGTCTGCGAATTTGATCAGCAGACTGTTCACCCCTTCTTCCATGTCGCTAATGAAAAGATTAAACAGGATCGGCCCCAGGACAGAGCCCTGGGGGACCCTGCTTGTCACTGGCCGCCATCCCGATGATTCCCCGCTAATGGTTACCTTCTGCTTTCAGTCAGTCAACCATGCCCTAATCCGCCGGACAGTGCTTTGGTGTATCCCAAAACTGCTCAGTTTCTCCACCAGGATATCATGGGGCACTTTGTCAAAGGCCTTGCTGAAATCCAGGTATACCACATCCACTGCATCCCCTCCATCTAGCCATCTCCAAACCTTGTCATAGAATTCCACAAGGTTTGTCTGGCAGGACCTGGTTTTGCGGAAGCCGTGTTGTTTGGCTGTCAGCCTCCCTTCCCTATCTAGCATCACTAGATCTCTCTCTATTATGAGCCTTTCCATTGTTTTTCCTACAATGGACGTAAGGCTAACCGGTCTATAATTCCCCATGTCCTTTCTGCTACCCTTTTTGAAAATTGGGACCACTGACACCACCCTCCAGTCCTCTGGAACTTCACCTGTTCTCCACGAGGCCTCAAAAATGGAGGCCAGCGGGCATGAGAGAACCCCTGCCAACTAAGTACTCTCAGGTGGAACCCATCAGGGCCTGGCAACTTTGTAATGTCCAGTGCCCTGAGGAGCCCCTCGATTTCTAGGGGGGGTGACTCTAATCTGTGCCCCTAAGTCCCCAGCTTCATCTAATCTCCTATGCTAATCTCCCCTGTCCTGCTTTGGGGAGAACACAGAGGCAAAATAGTCATTTAGCCTCTGTGTCTGTTCCCTCATATCAGTCACTGGATCTCCTTCCTCCTTATTTAGTGGTCCCACCATTTGTCTCCCCTTCCTCTTCCTATTATTATGTGGATTATTATGAGAGGACTTTTTTTTTTTTTTTTTTGCTTATCTGTAGTGGAGGATATCATGAAAATTATGCACAGACTTTTATCTATTTATGCATTTCTTTTTGCTCATCAGCTTTTGTTAGTGTTTGTGTATTGAATGTGTGGCCCAAGACAATTTTTCTTCTTCCAATGTGCCCCTAGGGACTTAGGAAGTCTCCCTGTGGCCCTCTTTGTAGTAAGACTTAAAAAAAAATCAAGAGGCATTTAACTTGCCAAGTAGAGGTTCTTTTGGTGATTCCAACAGCTATACACCAGATCCTAGGTGTTTTAAATTGGTTTTATCTGAGCTATCTACTAATTCTGTTTTTATTCTTTTGTTCAAGTTTAATTTGGGCTATTTTGGTTTTGGTGTTTTTAATCACATACTGTCCTACTGCCTTTAATTGCATAGTGCCGTAATGAAAAGGCAGTGAAAAGATATAGTGTGTGTGTGTGTGTGTGTGTGTGGGGTGGTGTATTTTAATGAACAAAACTTCCAATATGCTTTCATTTCTTGTCACATACAGTCCTCTGACCAGACAACAGCACCATTTGAACCATTTATTGAATTATATTTGAAAATATTAGACCAAGAAATCATTTCTGGGATGATAATGCCTAAAACAAGCCAGAAACTACCACAGGTGCCTCACTTTCATTATCAAACCCATAAATATGAAATTATTTTCCATCCTATTTCACCTTTTATTTCATTAAACCCATGTACATTCTTGCTTTAAGGATTTTCTTGGTTTTGAAAAATTTGGTTATTTTCCTGTTGGCACCCACCCTCCCTTCCCACCAATAGACAGTTGCTGCTATGGAGTGGTATTCAATTTCCCTTTGTTTAAAAAGGTCAAATCTATCTTTGCAGGCATACCATGGAAAAGTGACCAACTCCTTCATAAAATATTTTTTAGATGTCCTTAAAATGATTATAGATTTCACATGGAAAGGTATTTAATTACCATAGAAATGTACCACATTGTGCCTACAGGCACTGGACTTCCTTGGCCAACAGACATGATTCATTCCGCACATGAAAATCTGGATGGAAATGGAAAGGCAATATCATTTTCCAGGTCCACTGGCAAACTAGAGCTCCATATAATTCAATATAATATAATATAATTAATATAATATAATTAATATAATATAATATAATATGAGCTCTAGAAATATATATAATATATTTTGCTATAAGAATGTTACCATCTCTTTCAAATGGTGCAAGTAATTTTTGGGAAAAATATTACCCAAGCAGAAAAAATGTGATTGTGATCCTGAACACATTTACTTAGAAATTGTTCCATTTCAAATACCTTGTGAATCAAGATTCCATGGGAGGAAGGGGAGTATTATGTTAACATTTTCTAAATATTTGGAACACTTTGCTCAAATCAGAAATAAATGGGGTTCAAGCATTTCTCATGGCTACCTGCAGAGCAAAATAGAAAACTTTGTGAAAAATTGCAGCTTGGAGAGAACATTTTTTTTCCAGAAAAAGTATCCCATTTTTCTCTCCATAGTTTCCTTTGCAGTAAAGAAAAAATGGCAGAAACAGGAGGTTTACCAATGGAGGATGGCTTTATTTGAACCTGTCCCGCACCCCCATAAAATTCTGGGATTTAGGCTGTGTGATGCACAGTACAAAACTCATCTTGCCTGGAAGCATCCCAGTTGTAAGCAGAAGTTTTGTAGAATTATACTTTGTGTTAGGGAAGCGATTGGCATTATGTATATTTTCTCTTCTCCTTCCCTCTTATCAATTTTTTGAGCAAGAAACAACTATATAGAATAGTAGAATTGTATATGTGCATTATTGTGTATATACCTTACTTTACATAGCATTTTACAGCAGAGGTCTATTTTTATTTGCTTCCTTTTTTAATAAGTTTTATTCTTAATAAACCTAACAAACAAACAAAAACAAACTAAAAACAACATCAATCATCAAGAACATCGGACCCGCTGGGTCAGCCCCCCACATTTTTTCTTTTTATATTAAACTATAAACATATTTAAATCTATGCGTAGTCCCATTTCTCTAGCCAATGATAAAAAGAGTCCCAGGTTTGATAGAAGTCTGTATCTTCTTTCTCCTTCAGAGACAAAGTCAATCTGTCCATTTCTGCACAATCCAAGATCTTTTTTTAGAATCAGTTTGTCAGTAGGTG